GAACTACTATGGGGCCTGTGGGTGGAGTTTCTGATAGAGTCTCGGGGGTTTCAGCTTCAGGGTTCTCTAGCGTCCGACTGAATCCACACTTCGCTTCAACTTCCGATTCTTCTCGGCGAGTTGGACTACCGGCTTGGAGTGGAAAATCCGCAGAGTTCGCGGTGCAGCCTCATCCCGGAGTCCTCAAACCTTGCAGCAGACCCTAACGCCCTACAAAGCCTCGAAAGACAAAGCCTTAGACGTTTAGATTTTTGGGCTTAGAGGTGTAGCCAGGATCGTATTATCCAACAGCTACGCGTCATTCCCGTTTTTCCGGAACTCCCAGGACATGCCGGACCACCGCGATCTCCACGTCACCTTCCCAAAGGTGGAGGCACCCAGCAAGAAGCCCGGTCCAGAAACCTATGCCCTAAACCCCCCAAGCCCAAACTCTTAAACCCTAAACCGTAAAACCCTAAGCCCCGAACCCGAATTAAAGCAATAAGCCCTAAACCCTAAACTCTAAACCCTCCTATATAGAATTTTTTCAGGTCTTTAGACTTCAGAGTCTCGGACCGCCGACCGTCCCAGGTCTTAGGGGGACCTAGCTCGCAGGCCCCCAACTCGAACCCCCAAACCCAAGAGCCTCAACTCTAATGTAGTGGCCGAATACTATTTTGGGGGTTTAGGGTTTAGGGTTTAGGGTTTAGGGTTTAGGGTTTAGGGTTTATAGTATAATATACCCCCAAAACCCTATTCTAAGTATTAGGGCCCCTATATGAAGCCCGAAGCCTTAAAGACGAGTCCCTGAACTCTAAACCCTAAACCCACGTCCCGCAGACTCAAGACTCGAAATCACCCCACACCTCGAGAGGAACTCCAAACTCCAATCCTAAACCAGGAAGCCGACATGTAAAGTATAGTATAGTAGAGTAGACTAGAGTATGGTGAATTCTAGCATATCACATTTTTTCGTGAACTATAGTATATTATGGCATATTACAGTCTTTTATCGTATCATGTTAGCAAGGATCAAGAAGAAGGCAGAGGGACAGAAGGAGATCGTGGACCTGCGCCCGATGAACGGCCGGACCATGCTTGCCTGGGGTTCAATTTCAATAGCCCTGGGTTTTGAGCAGAGTAATGGTTCAGGGTTTAGGGTTTAGGGTTTAGGGTTTAGGGTAATGTAGGGGCCTAAATTAAATAAGTACCTGTACTATTTTGGGGGGGCTTCCTTATCATAATTATAGTGTAAGCTACCCCTAAGACCTTATTCTCATTCTTGAGGCCCCTACATTACCTTTGAGCACCTTGGGTTCAGGGTCTGGGGTGCAGGAAGTTTCGGCTTTAGTGTTACATCGAGATTTGTTGAGGAGGTGCGCGCCGTCAGGTTTTATGATGGTGTGGGTGGGCTCTGGAGGGTAATCGGGGTTTTGGTTTTCAGGGTTTGAGGTGTAGTACCTTCGCTTTAGGGTTTAATGGGAGATTTTCTTGGAGAGAAGTACCGTAAGTAGCTTAGACAAGAGGAATTTATGCCAGATTCCGTCGTCTGGTTATGGGTACTGTAGGCGCCTTAATAACTAGAATAGGGTTTTAGGGGTATACTAGACTAGAATTTCAACAAGGAACCCCCCCCAAAAGTATTTTTGGTAATTATTTTGGCCCCTGCATTACTTCCAGGACTTTGTCCGTCAGCAGTAAGGGTTTAGGCCCTAAACCCTAAACCCTAAACCCTAAACCCTAAACCCTAAACCCTAAACCCTAAACCCTAAGGGTTTAGGGGTTCAAGGCTTGAGTTCCTTACTAGCTCAGGGGCTCACGGGTCTGGATGGGTTTGGAGTTGATCAGTTTTTTACTTGGGAAGCTCATGTTCTATGTGCTATAATATACTACACTATACTATCATATACTTATTTATGTACTATAAAGTACTATAATATATTATAGTATAGTATAATGTAATATATTGTAGTATATAGCATTCCTTACTTGTGGTTCAGTGTGCCTAAATCCAAAGAGCCCTCATCACCGAAGCTCCTAGCCCTGAGTGCCAAAGTTTGAAGGGCAGCAGACATGATTGTATATTCACGGTCGAGTATCGTGTTTTATAGTCTGTTATAGTAGATTGTAGTATTGTAGTGTTTTGTAGTCTGTTAGAGTATATGACAGTATATTCATAGTATGTTATAGTAAGGATGGGCGATATACTAGTAGTACAGTAGTATGTTCAGAAATCTGGCCGCCAGTTGAGCTTCTCAGGAACTTCCGCGTATTGATAGTCCCATGGTTTAGGGTTTAGTTTTTGAGTGGGTTTGTAGAAAAGCAGCAGCAGCAGCATCGGTCATCGCGCCGCATGGGCATGCAAGAACTACAGATTTTCTTGTATCTCGACTGACACACCCATAAAACCTATTGACTATTGACCCTGTTGGTCCTGTAAGCCGCATAAGCCTTTTGTACTTGCATTTATAACCCTTATAGAACATGAAGGATCAGGCGAGGAGTACCAAACCCTCAAACCTTTATAGGGCATAAAGCCCTTGTGGATCCCTTATACCTCTTATAGAATCATAGAACCTTGTCGTCCACCTTGTCGTCCACCTTATGGAACGCTAAAGCCGGAGTGTCAGGTGGCTTCCCCATCTTCGACCAGGGACATCTTGGAAGCTGCACGGCGAATGCGTTGGCCGCGGCCTTCCACTTCACCCTCCATAAGATGGAGGTAGAGAACAACAAGGCCTGTGGGTAGAACCCTAAACCCTAAACCCTAAACCGGGGCGAGTGTCAGGACTAGATTTTTTGTTTTTTTGATTTTAGGGCGTTGCATTACGAGAAAGAGCGGGCCGAAAGCGCCGATGTTTGACAATTTTTCATGTTATGGGTTTAGGGTTTAGGGTTTATAGGGTTTTGGAGTGCTTTTTACTTACAGCCAAACTTTCTGGCAATGACAGGTGCATGTTCGCGGTCGTGGTTGATGATGATCAGGTTGATGTTGATGTTGATGTTGTTGTTGTCGCTGTTGTGGGCTGTGGTCATGGTTGTGGTCATGGTTGTGGTTGTGGTTGTTGTTGCGGTTGTGGCTGTTGGTGTTGTTGTCAATGTGGTTGTGGTTGCGGTTGTGGTTGTGGTTGTGGTTTGTTGTTGTTGCTGCTGCTGCTGTTACTGCTGCTGTTACT